ATTTAACGAAACTCGTTCTAACGAACACAATAGAGAAACGCAAATGTAAAATATACCTCGATATAACGAATAAATGTCAACATGTGACCGAAAGATAGCATTTGATGGGCTCCCGGTAAAGATCAATGCGAAACGTAACAGACCAACGAGGATAAAATTTATTTGTACAGTAGTTTTAAGCAGCTTTGTTTACCTTTGCTTGTGTTGCTAGTGCCGTAGTTATGGACTGCTCTGAATCGTATACAAATGTTTATCAGATCCTGAAATTATGGGTGTTGGAAATTAATCATTAACTGTACCTCGATATAATAAACAGTTTGCTTGTTTTCCCAACATTTCGTGAAATCGATTTTTTCGATATAACGAACCCTCGATCGCCCTCGATATAACGAACAAATTTTCCCAGTCCCTTGGCACTTCGTTAAATCAAGGTTCCATTGCACAGGGACTAAAATGGAGCGTTATATATTCATGTTTTTATTTAGCGTAGAACGAGCGAGACAGAGGCTTACAATGGCAGAGCAAACATGATCAGTTACTTTCTAAATAACCTGTCACTTTTTTTTCTTTTCCGTTTTGTTAGTTAAGGCGCCACTCGCCTTTTCAGAAAAAAAGTTCAACTCGGGGATCGAGATAACCTGACATGCATATGCAGCTTGATCGCACTGCCTCCAAGACTATGTTTACATTAGGCGAGATTTTTCATGTCTTTTTAGTGTCTGATAGATTCGTTTTGCGTTTACACACACTGAGATGAGTGAACCCGCGAAATGGGAACGTCCCGGCTTGGTCGCGTGTCCGGAGATTTTGAATCCGGAATCTGAAGTTAGTGCTTTAATTTGTATACTAATCTGAACGCTATTCTCGGATTTACTGCTCTATGTAAACACCTGCGAATTAAAATACCCTAAATGAAATAAATTTGGAAACAATTATGAATTTCGAAAAAATCTTTTCTAACTCCCTTGATCGTCTGCCCATTCTTGCATTAGAGTTTTCGTCCCGCTTTAATTTAGCTACTCATGATTCTGTGATCGAAACTAACTCGAATAGTCTTAATTTGTAGTTAGTTTGGGTGTCCAGTGTTAACTGTTTGATTTTTTTTAAAATTCTTGTACAAAGTGTTTATACTGTTATTCTTACAGTACTGACAAGTATACGTTGTTGTTGTTGTTGTTATTGTTGTTTTTGATCATAACCGGAGAGATCGTGTTCAAAGCATGATTCACACCCTGGTCCGCACTGTGAATACAGCTTTATTGAAGTGAGCTGACATGTGTCCTTCGTGACCAGGTTAAAGGTTTTTCGTCGACGTGTACAGTAGCCGCGGGTCCTAACACTGAGTGTCGCATTACTTTGGAGCTTGAAAAAATATCGTCCTGTACTTCATTGAAAACCATTGCATACAGAATTATAATAATAAACAGTTATTGATGCAACTTCACACGATATATGACAGGTTACTCATGTACGTGGAAAGCTTAAACTTTCCAACTCACTAGAAGAGACTCGATCGAGTGTTCTAGCCCACTCCAAACTCAATTAACGTCGTCACTTAAAATAATAGTAATATTACTCTTTTTCCCGTGACGTTAAGACTGTAACTGCTATCAGTATGGAATATTATTTTTTGTTTTGATTACTAAGAGTAAACTTAAACATTTCTTCGCCACTTCTGAGCTCATTTTCATCATTTATTTTTTCGTACACTTTTTTAAAATTTCGTTTAGACCTCTCAAAAACATGAATTTCGAAGACAGTGCGTTAGTTCAATACACGAAATATCCAGCCAAACGAGATTATTAAAGGGCAGAACGACGATTCAAGCTGTCGGTAGAACTTCTGTTAGGTCAACTTTCAATGATAAAGGATTCTTCCGGCTCCAATGAGTGAATCATGCGAAAGCAGTAGTTTTCACTGATTTGGTTTGATTTTCAAGGCTAAATGTAATATGATCCAAAGAAGTTGATTATTTCTTTGGAAATCTGAAACTGAATGCAAATCACAAGGTACTGACATCTGCGGGAAAAATTGCAACATTGCTGGCACCGCGAGTCATGATCCCGATCCGGTTGTTCGTGATAAACTTGAAAGGCCGAGCCATTATTTTATTAAAAGGATAGATGCTGTAACTCTAGACCAAACACTGACTTTCTAAAATACTGGTTGTCAGTTATACCCATAACTAATGTTAATTCAGTTTAAAAGTTAAAAACAAAAACGGTATCTAAGAGGCATAAAAACGGAGTTACCTTAAATTAGTTTCCGTGCCACTTTGATGGTATTCGACGACAAACACAAAAGCATTCTCATTTCTTCTTACTTTTGTCGAGAATTCAATGGTTTTGAGTCTTGGAGAGCGAAATGAATTGTTTTGAACTCTGTCAACCCCAGCAACGACGAACAACAAGAACTCTGGGAATTGCAGGTGCTAGCCGTGTCGATTTAATTCTCAGGGATAATTCAAAATATGTCGGTTATTCTTTGTCGACGAAATAAAAGAAATGTGAGTTAACGGCCGTGCCCATTCGACCATTCGCTTTTTTTTGAGAGTTAGATCAATCAAAATGGTTCGTAATAAAACTGTGAATGTCACTGAGAGATGTAAACTGGCAGCGAGATAAGCTTACAGTCAATAGAGAGGTTTTCTTTGAATATTAATGAACCTGGGAAAGAAAAGCACACACTGACTGCAAAATGATAAGAAATGAGTTATGCGAATCAATCAACTGGTGAGTGTATATTTAGTATAGACTTGTCTTCGTCAAACGTCAAGTGTGTCACTCATTTGAACGTATTCTGCATTTTGCTGTTTCTATATGTTGTAGAACGTAGTAGCTTAAAATGGCAATAGAGTTTTTTTCATAAAAATATGCCAAGAGCCTTGCGCGGGTCACCAGTGGATGGAAAACTTCAATATTAATGAAAATTGCATTTTTTGGCGGCCCAGTTGATCCACCGAACTAAATAATTACTCTCTTTTAGTTTGGTGCACTGATAAGGCTTAAAATTCAATTATGAAAATGAAAGTAACTGAACACGATGTTAATTACTTAAATACGCTTTCAAATTTAACGATTTTTTGTCACCCCTTATTAGCAAACGCTAAAGGAAAATTGCGAACAAGATTTTCACCATTCATATATTGATTGGTTAAGTTTTTATCTAGTACTTAAAGGCCCAAGATTTTAGAATCCATGGAAATTTGCCTATCAAGCAATTGGCACTTGTTCATGTAAAGGAGTCATTTCAGATAATAAAAAAAGCTAGTAAGATCAGTAGAATCTTAAAGGTTGCTAATTTTACACATGACCGTCAACACATCATTATATTTAGTTCTGCCTTCTCCCAACCGACTTGTTAACTCTCCTGTGACATGACAGAGATGAACAACTGTCGAGACATTGAATAGATATTTGAACACGATCAATTTACACATCCATCATAAAGATGTTATGCATTTCTCCCCAGTCGATCCTAATGTCAAGTGAAATTTTCCTCTTTCAACCCTTGAACCTGGATACATGCCCTATTAATCAAGGAGCCTGATTTTCAAAATTAGATTTATGGACTGTGTACTCGTTTGAGATCTGGTTGTGCCTGACATCTTGTACAATGCTGATTGGTGAAATTAAACGGTTTTAGCGTTCAAGGCTATAAAGACTGTTAAAGTCTTCAGCAATGGTTACTTTTAATTTTTTCGTTTCCATTGAAATGTGATGGATTAGATCTTAAAAACGTTAATACATTTGTTGCGCTTAATTAGCTTGTACGTGCGTCTTGTCATTCTGTCCCCGGTTGTTCAAACGTTGGATAGCGCTATCCACTGGATAATGCAATTGGTCCGTTGGCTAGCTAGTGATATAGTCGGTGGATAGCGCTGTCCAACTTTTGAACAACGCAGGCCAGTTGATTAGCCATTACGAGGAAGATGTAACGGTTTCGGATATGCCCACGCGCGTAGTACGCAAAGCCCTCATGTTTCCTTTGAATGCGCGTGTTTGCGCGCATATTGCCAATTGTTACGTCACGAGGGCTTTTAAACATTTAAGTCCGAAATGGGACCCCTTTGTGAGATATTCAAGAGGAGTTTCCTCTTGTCCGTTTTCATCCAGTTGATAGGAGACGGGAGATGTTAAAAGAAATTCTTATTTTACTGTTATTTGTTTTGTCTGCGGGGAAATCACGTGAACTTGGAGATAGTTTGTCGGACGTCCACGAAGGTTCTCATAATAATGTGCTGGAGGAAGGGACAATTTTGAACAGCCAATTTGAAGCTGTGTTCCAATGGATTTTTAAAGGTAATTCATAATTACCGGTATCGAAGTTGAATGTTCGGGTTTTTCAATAAGGTTAATCAGAACTGGATGATTGTGTGTATGTGTTCCCTGTCTTTTGACTTCATAGCATGTTGTATACGTCTGTAGGAGTAATATAACTCAAGACAAATGAATACCAGTGTGTCTGAAGACCACAGCTGGATATTGTGTGATTTTAAGTTAATATATGGCGATCTTCTGCTCTGATTTTCTCCTAGACTAACACAACAGTTATGAAAAAGGACACCCTCCACGACACATATCACGTGGTATCAAACGCAAAGGGATCTCACTTCACCCTAGCACGGTATTCTCTCGACCGTCTCGTGTATGCGATGAACGCCATGGGACATAGAATATTCAATTGCCACAAAGGCATTCTGTTGTCTCAAGGAAGAAGTCTAAAATAGAACAACTTAAATATATGACAGAGAAAAAGGAGCCAAAAGAAAAAAACGGGTAGCCCAGGCGAAGACATGCCTGGGTTTTATGATGGGACATCAGTGGTTGCTTGTAAGGTTATCGCCTAAATAAGATCTTATTCCCTCTTTTCTCATCATTGAATATTATTTTTATTTTTATTCTTCCAGGTATCAAATCCACCTTTCCCTATAAACTCGTTGTCCTGCATATCTACGTCATTTTCTTTCTTTTCATCCCTATGGTTATTGTTTGTGGCTTTCTCTCGCCAGTACAATTATTTCCGGTAAGACATGGTAATCAAATTAAAACTTTTTTATCGACTAAGGCTTTGTTTCGTCACTATAGCGGATGGCTTTTTGAGGCGCCGATATAGTATGAACAGCAACGGCCCGATTCAGACATATCGATTCAGACATATCGACCATATCAGGCTGATTTAAGATTTAGCAACAGGACGGGAACGTCAGTTGGCGCGCGCGGAAAGGACCAAACACGACTTCCGGTGCCCAATTTGCCGCTCTGCCATTGGTCAAGCCAGTTGTTTGATTTGCGGGCGCCGTCGTCAAATGATGTTCCCGTTCTGTTGCTTAATCGGCCTATTGCCGACGCGGACGACCGAGAAGGTTTGGTCACTAAATCCTGAGTAGTTACTTCCGTCTTAGTGGGTTCTAGTCCTCGCTCCTACTTATTTACTTCCGCGACATTACGCCGTCGAATAGGTGTTGACACTACATCACCGCATGGCACAAAAGTATCCAATATGTAACACTCCATTTTCGAGATCAGCACCGCACAGCTTCGCCCCGTCACAGTAATCGTGCAGCCACATCCGTTCTTGCGTGTTAAACAGAAGCCCTGTCCGGTATGATTTTTGTGGCAGCGCAAAAGCTATCCGCGTTTTCACTCACGTGGCCAGCATCTATGCTAGTTTATAGGAACAAAAAATAGCGTTTACGTAGGAAAAGAGTTGAACTTCCATACGATTGTACACTACCATGGCTGCCTTTTCATTGTTTTGAAACACCAATGGCCGCTATGACGTCATCTGAAAACACCATCTATACATAAACCAGGCAATATACCTTTTCCTTAATAAAGTGCTTTTACGGTCCTGTTTACATGGAGGTGGGGGACCCTAGGTAGGTGAGGTAACCTGTTTAGGTAGGGTAGCCCACCTGTTCATATAATCTCTCGTTTTAATTTTATTACGTTTAACTGATGGATGGGGTGACCATATGAGGGATTATTTTGACAGGGGGATTACCCCACCTTAGTGGGTTACCTCACCTGCTTAGAGTCCCCACCTCCATGTAAACAGGTCGTAAATCAATTAAGCATAATGGGACAGTGAGGGAAACCACCCGCCGGCCAGTCCAAAGGAGGAAGCTCGGCGAACGGTTACAGCGATGAACTCGGTGCAAACTGGAGCCGTTCAGTTCAAGTCCCACCCTATCTGCTAAGTTCCGAGTTCAACTAAACTGGTTCGCTTTCGGCCAGTTACGGTTCTTGCTTTTTACACTTGTTTATTTTAATTATAAGAAGGAGTGGATCCAGAAAAATCAGAAAGGGATGGGTGGGACACCTGCCAGCTATATAGATACTTTTTATTTTTTTGAGAATTCTATACAATTAAAAGAAAATTTCAAAAGAAAAAGGGGTGGCCGCGACCCCCTCGGCCAACCCCTACAATGGTCTTTGATAAGCCTATCTTTTGGGCCACTAGGTTATCAGTAATCTGGAGCTTTAGCCTGCGTAGCAAGCTTTTCCGTGTGGTTTATAGGAGCAAAGAACGAGGAACGAGAGTCAAAGACGGCGCGAAAAATGCCGCAAGCAAAAGAGCGGGGAGTTTTTTGGCTATCGCTTCATTTCTTGCGCGACCAAATCCAAAAATCCCGTTCCTCGGTCTTTCTTTGCTCCGAAACCAAACGGAAACGCTTGCTACGCAGGCTACTGGAGTTTGAATGATCAATTTACCACTTTTAACAAAAAAAATTGGGATTCTTTTGATCTTTATAATCAGGACTGGAAATGGCCCCAATGTGAAGGGGATGATTTGTTCCTGGTTGATCAAGGTGATCTGGACTCTAGTGCTGCGACTACTTCCCAGAATGAAACCGTAACGTCACCTGACCACATCCAGCCCCAATACTTAAATCCCACTCCTTGTAAGCCGATCATCAAGTTTTGTAAAGAACTGCCTCCAGAGACCCCCCACATTGAACAAAAGCGGGACATGCGCAGCCCACTGCTAACATTGACTGAAGAGAAATCTGGAGAACAGGCTTCACGTCCAAGTGCTCAAGAGCCCGAATTCCTGGATGCAGCAGATGTCCAATCGGCTGGCACTCTGCCCCTTTTGCAGAGTGTGGAATACAAGATGTGCAGTTCCCTGCACTTAAATCTAAGGTTACCATCGACAAAGCACACGTAATTTTGATTTAAGTGGTCTTGAGTACGATAACGGACTTGGCATCAAATTTCAGGCAGAAATTGGCCTGTTCCAGGCTCTCAGTTGGTCGTGACGAACGCACAGAAAAGGATTGACAAAAAAAAGGGAGAAAGAAAATCGCTTCCTACTGTTCGCTCTTTATTACTTTTTTTCACCCGTCGAGGGTCGCGACCTACTGAAAGCGTGGAACAGGCTGAGCCAATCTTATAATCAAACCATATAATTGCGTAGCAGGCCCAAAGCGGCCGGCAGGGTAAAGAAGGAAAAGGGGGGGATCTGCGTGATAGGTGCTCCCGTCATTAGTCCACGCCTTGTGTTTAAAGGCGCAACCAAGACAGAAATGAATATTCGTACTTCGACTTGAATCAGTCATAGAATGAAGATAACCTTTGAGTCAGTCATATTTCCACATAGGATCTACACCAAAATCTGTTAAACCTAAGGAATTCAAAGATAGCAAATAGCAAAATAGCAACAGAATGATCATGATAATATACCATGCCAGGAGCCCATGACATGAAAATGTGGTTCACCTGATCGAGGATTCGAACCCTGATCCCCTGTGCGTCGTACAAATTTGTGTCATTCGGAGATATTACTTCAGAAAGGATGTATACTGAGGTGGCTGGAAGTCCAACACTGAACTACGCTGGAACCACCATGGTAAAAGTAATTTGGTTCGAATTATCGGGAGGCCGAGGTTTGAAAAACGAGGATTCGCCGAGAAATGGAGATTCTACTTGATACACCGTAAAATTCCGAAAATAAGTCCCCAGGATTATATTTTTCAAAGGCCCCTTTTTGAGGGACAAACTTAAAGCAAGGGACACACATACATCAACCCACAGCCGGGCCGGTACCTCTCGCATGCACACAACCATATCACCTGGGCATATGGAGGGAAATTTGAGTTTCAAAATCGGCCAGGCTTATACTTGGAGGGAAATTTGAGTCTCAAAAACGATTGGGCTAGCTTATTGTAGTTGGAAGGAAATTTATATCGCTAATTTGCAGGTTTTACTGAAACCCGTTAGGACGTAGACCTTTTCAACTGAACCGAGGAAATCCAAAGTGAAGCCGAAAGTGAAGAGTGAATAATGCAAACAGTAATGTACTGTGACACTTTCTGACTACAATTATGCAATCATTTGGCACACGTCATAGTTTTTGGCAATGAAAAAACTTATATGTTACTGTACGGTTATTGCTTTGTTTTACTTTGAATTTGAGGGCAATTTCCAAGTATAAGCCCCCGGGGGCTTATATTCGGAGGGGCGATTTACCGAGGGCTTTTTTGCATTACGAGTTTCAGGGCCTTATATTGAAGGGTGCTTATACATAGATGGGTTTATTTTCGGAATTTTACGGTATGTAGAGATTTATACAGCAAGGAGCCTACAAAAGTGTGACCTCCTTTAGTCAACTCACATTCTTTTATGTAGACATTAACCAATCAGAGTCGAGGACAGTTTCCAGCTGGCTTCTGATTGGATTAAATCTGTACGAAAGAATGTGAATAAATCAAAAGCGTTCACACTGTTGGACTCCTTGCTGTAAAAGTCATGCTGTTATTCTTTTATTTAGAACCCACTCCATTATTGTTGCCGCTGGCATTTTACTTTCTCTCTTTGGAATTTCTCGTCTTTTCAGGTAAGCCCATTACAAAGGTCATTTTTGCTTGTCCGTTATTATCCGATTTCCCAACGCCGCCTCTCGTCATTTCGCGGGGAAACCAGTGATGACGTCGCGAAATGTCGACAGGTTTCGCCTCAGGTTTGTCTCTGATCTTGTCAAAGATAAGAGACTCCAGGGAGACTTCACAGCACTGTCATGATTTGGAGAACCGGGCCGGATTCAACCGAAACGTACCTTTTCGTGGGATCTAACGTGTCAATCATTGTTCAGTTACTGTTTTTCTTTTGTGTAGGAAATAAATCAAGTACAAGGACCCGGGTAATTTTCCTTTGAACGTGCCAGCTCCAACCAGCGAACACTTGGATTGTGTGATGTCAAGTTTAATGATAGGCCTATTTCCAAAGTCTAACGTGGAAAAGTAAAATGGAAGAGAAATAAAATGCCGTCAGTTTTGATCAACCTTTACTAGTTGCAACAAGTTTTTCTTTGAATGTCCTTTTATCACGTTGTAGCCGATCTGTTGTTGGCGTTATCATTACCGCCTTCCTTTATCACTTTGAACCATTTGTCTCGTGACAAGTGTCTTTTTATTTCTCTTCTTTTTGTTCGAGTAACGCACTAACAGGAGCCGGAGAAAAATGCTATAATTATACCATAATTCAAACGAAGGTTTCTGACCCTGCGAGAATTGAGCACCACCCTGACTCAAACCCTGTTTTCATGAAAACCGCTGGGCATGCCCCCAAATTGTTTTCCCTGCCTACCGAGTGGCACTGGTCACGACTTCTTTTAATTTTTCATCTCTCATTAAAAGTCACAAAAGAAGAAGAAAGTTACCCCGGATGTGAAAACGAAGGCGAAAATAACGACGTTGTGAGGCCTGAGCGAATTGACCATGTTTGACCCTTGAGAAAAAGATGTTTTGGATGCTTCTATGTTTTTAGTTTTCATAGGTTTTGCCCACTTTAGGAGACATCACTTTTTACTCCTGCTTTTTACAAACATTGTTTTTGTTAGTCAAGTTTGTAACAAGTGAAGCAAAAGAATCTTTTGTTACAAGAACCAATGCGCTAGTTGGCACACCAATATTAATAGGTGACGTCAGAGTTAGTATGATCGCTTTTTGTTGAAGTAGTACAAAGCGATTGGGAAGTATTGTGACACAAGCGTGTGATTTTTTTTCCCATAAAACTGGTCCCGATTTTAAAGTTTGTTTATACACAGGATAAATCTTAGTCAGCTGGATAACACAGTTGGTCTCCCCAATTCATATTCACAGGATATTGATTTTATATCCGGTAGATATTATGCTATACAACTTTGGTCAACTTTTGAACAACAAGAGCCTAGTTCAGCATTGTTCAGTATATGTATATGAATCCATTTCTGAATTGTAGGATCTCGGTTTTGCATAGAATTTCTTTTAGATTCTAGGGGTTTGTTTAGGAAAATTCTGAAAATTGCTAATATAACGGGAAATACAAAGATTTTTGTTGTTATCGTGATCGTGCGGCGTGCGCGCACAACGGAACAAAAGCCGGATTGCGTGACACAGTATTTATTACGGGAAACACGTTTTTCGACCTCCTTATATAGAAGAAAGTCGTGACGTGTCTTCAGTTCAAAATGGCGGACGAAGAGTAGCATTTCTGACAAAATTTGTTGCGTTCCTCGATTCACAAACGGAAAGGTTTAACAACAATAAGGACAAATATGCTTCATTGTCTATAAAATGAGGAGTATTTGCCATGTCTCTTTTGAAGAAAGGAGGATATACAACCTATGTTACAAGCCAAACAGAAAACGACTCCCGGTCAGCCGAAATACAAAATGTTCCCTCCTCAAGGGTTTATATATTTGGGAATGATGGCGCCGATGAAGTTGGCATTGAAGACTCAGCCGTGGAAATGACAGAGCTGAGACCGAGGAGTAAAAACAAGAAGTCGTATGCGTCGACGAAATCGGTGGCTCAGCAATATAAAAAGACTGAAACTATTGATCGTGATATTTTGCCTAATGATTCCCTTCAGAGTTTGTCGTTACAGTATGGTTGTACGGTAAGCTCACGTTTACATTACGCTAGTGATTTGTAACACTTATACTTTCTTTGATACTTATTTCACCTCTCATTCTTACAAAAAATTATAGAAAAATGATCGAATGTCTTTAATAACCATTTGATCTTTAATTCTATGTTTTTTGTAATAAATGTTAGACTACGTTACAAGTACGTCCCTCATTTTCCTCAGAAGAATTCGCGAGTGCGGGTGAAAATCGCCATTCGCGAGAAAGGTGACACGCGGAGGGGAGAAAATGAGGTACTTAAGACAAAGCCCAAACTTTTGACCGTCCTCACAAACGAAAGATTCTAGACAGTAAATATCTGATCATAATGAATGATTATCACTTTGGACTTTTCTTTAGGCATGTCTTTGAAAAATTTCTTTCTACTTCCTGTCAAATATATAGAGGCAGGGCTCAAAATATTTTTTGGATGGCAACGGTACACGATGACCGGTCAAAGATATTTTTGCTTGGAAAAATCTTGTTCCTGACTGGTCAAAATATTGGGAAAAAAGTTAATGTAACTACCGGCAATCCTTGTCAGGGCTGTCATTAAGTGGTGGGGGCTGGGGATTTCGCCCAGCTACTTTCATAGGAAAATATAAGAAAAACAGAACCAAAAGAAATCCTTAGCTGTTTGATTCCCCGCCTACTTGTTGTATTTACCTGGCAACAAATCTTAGTGATAGCCCTGGCTGTGTTTTTTTCTAGCTGTGAACGTGATTGGGTTTTTTGACCCATGCTTCCACCTAGATTTCCAAAAGTGCTTGAGGCCCTCCTCCCCTCAGGATTTCCAAGTTCAAAGACCCCCACCCACTCATCCGGATTTCCATAAAATAGTTAGACGCGGTAATTTTAATTCACACTCAATTATGTTGAAGAATTCTTCTAGGCACTTAGATGATCTTTTTATTAAATAAGTCTCAATTTTCCGTGAATTCTGTGTTTGTTGTGAAAGTTAAGATTACATTTTTACATCTTCTTAAACAGGCTTACACTTTTTGCAAATGAGCTCACATTTGAGTAACCTGAGATCAGGCCCAATTTGAGCGGTTCTCATACATTCTCTCTAACGGCTACCGCTGAAATTGGGCCTGATACAAACTCATTCCATTTGTGCTTGTTACGGCCAGATTTTGGCCGTAACGCTGATTGGCTGTTAGAACAATGCCACAAGATCTGATTGGCTGTCAGAAATGCCGGAAGTTGAAAGCGCTTATACGTCACGTGGTTGTTTTCGTGAATGATCCGTCGTCAGCAGAGAGAAGGATCGATTTTGCTGTCTTTTTTATTGTTTTATGGTCTTACGGTAGGAAAATATGCCTTAATATGTGCCATGGAAATTCAGAAAATTCATATGGTTGTCCATATCTTCTCAGGATTTGCTTTATTTACGGAAAGTGAGTGTATTGCGGAGTTGAATCCCAAGTTGTTGACCGCTAACAAGGTGCCTTTTGATTTACCAACAAACGGGTGCAAATCAAAATACTGTCCATCTTAAAACTGGTTTCATTTGAAAGTTTAGCCGTGAATGACTTCTCTGAACGGGGTACGCAAGCGGAGGCTCACTGCGAAAGAAACCTCAATCGCCAACCGTGAAGTATTAGACAAAAAATATGGCATCGCTGTTCAAGGAATTCCAGTGTTAACAGACTGGTTGTTTGCCTTCGCTTTTTGTAAAAAATAAACCAGGAAAACTGGTGTCCTCGCTCGGTGGCTGTTTGCTTTTGTTTTTAAAGATTTATGTACTGAAAATCGGGGGAAATTGCCGAGGAAAATATTAAGGCAACAAAAAAGAGAAATTTCAGTATTTTAAATTCGAGCGCGCCTAGCCAAAATAATAAAACTATTAGAACATTGTGTCGCCGTCTTTTCGAAAACTTTTTACCTTCTATGCCAACATAAATAACATACATAAATAACATAAGAAATAAGCATCGAGATCTCCCTTAATGTCGCAAGAAGTTAAATGTGATTGTGCTGACTGTTTCATTTTTAGCTGAAAAAATTAACAGATAAAAGCTATTTTTTAAGTCAGCCAGTCTGCATTTTTCCCGTGAGTGAAAAATGTGCATACTAGAAAAACAAGCAACGGAAGTAATTTTGGTTGGCTGATTTGGCAAATGTCAATCAATCAAAAAAGTGGGCGGCAGACGTTTCGTAGAAGGTTTGTATCAGGCTCTCTTTTCGTTTCGCCTTGCCCGCCCGAATGCTATTACAAAGCGAAATGAAAATTAAGCCTGATCTCAGGTTAACATTTGAGTGAACCTCCCTTTTTCTCTAGACCAGACAAAATATACAGCAATATATACTGCAATAGAGCCCAAAACTAACTATGTACTCGAATAAAAGGTTTTCCTCTTTGTTGATAAAAAATGACAGCGAAACAAAGAAAAACAACACTTAGTGGGTTATTGCATAATGCGCTATACTGCTAGCCACTGCACGTGCCTTTTAAAAATGGCTGCCGGACAATCACAAACAACCACAGTTACTTGTATGGCAGGTTTGGCGGTAAATCATCCTGAAATAGCTTTGACCTTGGAAAAATGTAGAAATCATTGTTTGCTTAACTTGAATTGAGCACTTTTTTTATGAATTGTGCGATTTTTCTTGAGATCTTCAAGTTATCGCCTGTCGCTTCTACATTTAAGTAATGAAGGGGAGCCTATGGATGGAAACTTTAAAAAAATAAATGTGGTAAGAAGTCTAGTTTGAAAGAATGATAAACTTTGAAAACATAAAGCAGTTTTTTCAAAACTTATTGATTGAAACAATGGAGACATCGATGAATGTAACTCCTGAGGATAAAGTTAAACCCCCCTCCCATCTGGATTTCTAGAGCCGTTATTCCCCCTCCCGTGAGATTTTCCAGCATGCCCTCCGTCAGGGGAGTGTGGATTTTTTCTGGAATAACCCATTGTATTTTTACAACGAGTTAAATCTAAGATTTACAGGTAAAAATTAGCTGTTTCTTCAAGAATGAGAGTGTGCGTGACTGGTCAACATGTCTGGTTGGCAAAGTAGCCTTTGAGGCTAGACATTGCTCCCTGACTGGCCGTTATATTGAGCCCTGAGAGGAAAGGTTGTTCAGCTTTTTTTATCTGGGGCACCTCCAGAAAGTACGTTGCTTTTCAGGTCTGTAAACAAAACATCGGGGTGCTGGAGTTCTTACTTGATGCAGCGCAAAAAAAACAAGAAGAGAGAGAGAAATTAAAATGACAGAGAGCATTCTTTCATTAGTATGGAATTTCTCTCTTGTTTCTCAGATGTCATTTTACGGGAAGTTTGGTGGTGTGGCAAAATCATGGCTGTTTTCACAGGCTTGGAGCAAATGGGTTAATATTTAATTTTAATTGTTTATTCCAAGCCTTATACTGATTATGCTCTAACTTATTTTTTTCTGGCAGGTAGCAGAATTAAAGAGAACAAATAACTTGTACAGTGATCAAGACTTCTACGCATTAAAGACTATCAAAATCCCAGTTCGACAACATGGTTTGTTGACAGAAACTGCCGATAAGAAGAGAAGGCCTCCACCTTTAATATTACCTGACAAAAGGCCATCTTCATCAGCAGATATTGATAGTGATGATGATAAGTCAGATTATGATGAACCTAGTGCAGATTTTGTCAGAACTGTCAGTATTCGCTCGGCGCTTGACTCCCCAAACAGCTTTTTACAACACATGGACAATGACCTCAAAATGATTTGCAAATCCATACCCTTGCGGAAGCAGAATCTTGATGAGGTTGCAAGGACGTTGACTGTTAATTGCATAAATCCTATAAAACTTAGAAAACAACAACAGGAGAAAGGCCTTGGAACTGCTTGTGGTATTGGATGGAAGGGAATTATAGTTGTTGTATTTTTTGTTGGCATATTGCTGCCAGGACTAGTAGCTTTTTTATATCTTAGAAAGAAAGACAGCTAACCAAAGATATATATTTTTGTATCTGTACAATAATTTATTACATTGAACTTTAGAAAATCTATTTAAAAAAGATGGATTTTATTTCAGTGAAGAGGATTTGTGTGCAAAGAGGAAAAGGTAAACAGTCTCACTTTTATTTCAGTTTACTGAATTGTAAAATCATACATTTTCTTAATTTAATTTAATATGAATATTGTCATCCAACCATATTATTATACAGATGCTTCAAAATCGTAATATTTATAATGGTAACAAAAATGAAAAAAAAACTGCTTGTATTGTTAACTAGTGCACGTTTAAAGGGTTGCGATGGGGGTACCTTGATGACGCGTAACTTGTATGTATGGCATTTTGGCTCTGTCATGTTTTGTCTCTCTTCACCCAGGTGTATAAATGGATACTGGGTGACATACTGCTGGGGGTAACCCTGTGATGGACTGGCATCCCATCCAGGGGGACTAACAATACTCCTAGGCATGGTTCTCACTTAAGAAATCAGGATAAGCTCTGGCCGTTTGGGCCTTTGGCTTGTTTGCGCGTTCACCTTACCTTTTTACCTCTGACAGTTTTACTTTATCTTTCACCAAAGCTCAAATTTGGCGACTAATCAGTAAACACTACAGTTTTTAGCCATTTACTGCTAGCAACAATAAAATGGGTAATAATAGTAATCACACTCAGACTCTCCATTCAGACCAGACCATAAATTGAAAAGTATCCCCCCTCCTATTGCCATCAAATACATGTGCTCTACAACATAAGAGGCCAGCTCCTGCTAGAGTGAGTGTTCTCCTCTGCCTACATAATAACATTTTTGTTCTGTTATGACAAAGTCATGCATCATTAATATTATTTCAGATTGTGAGTTCACGTTGATAAAAGGAAAGTACTGTTTATTAAAAGGTTGTGTGCAATGTGTGATGCTACTGTATTAGAATATTAGCCTCACAAGGTTTATTAATGGGTACTAAGAAAGAAGACCTTTACGGTCATTAAGCCTTAAACTGTTAGAAGCATGCATTTTTACCACATCCACCACCACGTTTCTTCGTGCATAATTAAGCACATATCAACATTCCAGTCCTAGCAGTATGGAGGATGTTTATCACATGACCCTAGTTTCGTGGCCTAAGCTCCCATGAGTCTCCTCTAGCTCAGTGAGCTCTGGACATTCGGCTCTTGTTGGGCGTACTTGAATTTTTCCTTCCCAAGCTGTCTGTGTCACTTACTGAATAAACATCTTTCTCATGTATTTACTAGGCTTAAAATTCACCATCACATTTCTGTCATTGCGCATCAGACCTTTCACTGCATAGAAAATAATTTTCTTTCAATAAACTCCTTTTTTGATTGAAGACCAGCACCAATATTTAAAATCTGGCTTTATCAACGCGCGTTAGGGCTAACGCCCAAAACAACAGAATTTGATTCAGTTGACCCACTCAATAAACCTAATTACGGAGCTGTGAGGCATCTGCACAGACACTTTCTAAACTTATGTATCAGTCAATTGCAGGCATATCTTTCCCCGGACATTTGTCATTATTTCTTTGGAAAATTACACAGAATAATCTAAAAGTACTCATCATTTCCGACTTCTGGGCATGACTTGATTGACGCAATTTATGGCGTAATCTGATGCCATATTGTTGAATAATTGTCAGAATCCAAATTTCCCTCAAAGCAGGTAAGGTCTCTGATAAAATCAAAAAGTTGGTTGACACAAAATGATCTTTAACAAAAGCAGTTATGTCATGATGATGTCATTTATCACTAAAAAAGAAGTGGAAGCATCCCCCATCTTGGATCTGCCATTTTGAATTATTTAAATGTACAGTTGGCTCTCTCTTAACGGACACCTCTATAAGGCGGACACCTCTGTATAACGGACACCTAGAGTTGGTCCTTGCCTTTCTTTACTCCCTTTATTTGACTTTCTATAAGATGGACAGCTAGTGCTGGTCCCAAAGGTGTCCATCTTAGAGAGAGTTGACTGTATTCCATTCTACTTAAAACTCGTATAAACTGAGGAATTTTTTAAGAGATAACTTATCTGAGTATAAAAGGATGTTTAGGAAACAAAAAAAATCTGAAATTCTGAGAGAAATGAACTCTGTTAGAAATTAAACTCAGCATGTGCCATTTGGTCATATCAAACTCATGTTTTTTCTCTAACTAGTCACTAGAAGGCCTGAATTTCATTAACAGTTATAATAGCTTTGATGAAAGTAATGCTGAAGTAATTAATAATTCAAATCAGTTCTTTTTTAGAGAAATGCCAATTTTGTCAAAAAATTGGTTGCCAAGGTAACATCAATATTGACTTATGCGTCACAGCGACTTTAAATTGTTCCCAGATTTATTTTAGAAAACGTTTTTTGGTCCTAGCTTGAACGGTTTTGAAGTCATTTAACGCTTTAGCGAGGCCCCTCCCCCCCGGTATGAATATAGTTATGATCTTCCTTACAACTCTTTAGTATAACTGTTACAATCTTACTTGCAGGCGACATTGTCTGATCAGTGATCACCTTCCAGTGACCTTTCTTGATCCGATCTTAAACTAACAACTTTAAAACCAAAAAGATCATCCTTTACTTCTTTTAGTGCTATCTAAAAAGTGCTCCGAAGATCTTGTCAGTATTGCGTCTACAAGCTGCTCCTCCTTGCCTCTCTTGTGCTATCCCTAACACTCCTGTAATGTAAGATGATTAGTGCAGGTATAGATAGTGAGTAGAGGCCGGGGGGAGAGGGTATTGCCATATAAAGGAATTTCTGGGTGGGGATGTGCCGCTGGGACCCTGGAACCCTTAACCTATAACAGAGCTAGTTCAGCTGAATTTTGCTACCCTATACTAGAGTAAACT